GTGGGTGGGTGGGGGGTATGGGTGGGGGGGTCATGCTTGGATAGTCAGGGTCAGAGGTTGGTTAGTGTTAGGGTGGATAGTGTTAGTTTTAGGGTTAGTGTGGTGAGTGTTAGGGTTAGTGTGGTGAGTGTTAGTTTTAGGGTTAGTGTGGTGAGTGTTAGTGTTAGTGTGGTGAGTGTTAGTTTTAGGGTTAGTGTGGTGAGTGTTAGTTTTAGGGTTAGTGTGGTGAGTGTTAGGGTAAGAGTCAATGCTCGTGCCTGATTGGCCAGTGTGTTTCGCCCCCTAAAAAAGAAACCGATGCCTCTCCCCCGTAACCATCCACGGCGTTTTCATTCATCGTTCAAACTGCACTCTGGGTGTTCACGGCACCCGGACGGTGAGAGTGTTTGGCCGACTCCTAGATACACTCAGCCCCCAGTGTCAAGGCGACCATTCCCCCTTCTTCGGTGATGGGGGGTCGGGGGTTGCGCTTGAAGTTTCGCCACTGGGGGAGACAAAGGCGGCCGGGCGTGGTGCTGGCCACCCACCCCCTCGTGCGCCGTGCCGGCCTTCGTAGGTGCTACTCGCTAACAGCACTTGCCCCAACAGTCTGTTAAGGCTACACGGGTGATCTTTGTCTTTGTGTTGGGGCGTGGGTGAAGGGGAGCGTTCTTGTCACGTGGCCGAGGTCCGGAGTCTTGGGTGGGTGAGCTGTGGTGAGGATGCGGAGTCTGTGGGTGAGGGGGTGTGGGGTGAGGGTGAGGGGGGGTGAGGGGGGTGGTGGGGGGTGAGGGGGGTGGTGGGGGGGAGGGGGCTCTATGGGCAGGGTCTCGCATGCCGCATGCCACGTGGTGTCGTCCGTGCACGCCTCGTACGCAAACACGTGGCCGTTGCAATGTTATCTTCTCATAATTATTATTATTTATTCATACGATTACCGCCGTCGTTGTACATTTACTTACAATTTGGTTATGTTTGCAATGTCGCGTCTGTGTGAAGGCGCCGCGGGGAATGTTCGTGCTCGTGTCTCAGCGTGTCTCCGTGTGTCTCCGTGTGTCTCCGCGTGTCTCCGTGTGTCTCCGTGTGTGCACCCCACCGCTGGTGGATTTTATAAATACCCCCCTCAATAAAGGGAAAAAAAAAGTTCCCAATGTTCACGTGGTGCCGTGTGGACACGTGTGTGTGTGAACACGTGTGTGTGTGAACACGTGTGTGTGTGAACACGTGTGTGTGTGAACACGTGTGTGTGTGGGGCTGTGTGAACACGTGTGTGTGTGTAGGTGTGAACACGTGTGTGTGTGTAGGTGTGAACACGTGTGTGTGTGTGGCTGTGTGAACACGTGTGTGTGTGTGTGTAGGTGTGAACACGTGTGTGTCTGGCTGTGTGAACACGTGTGTGTGTGTGTGTAGGTGTGAACACGTGTGTGTCTGGCTGTGTGAACACGTGTGTGTGTGGCTGTGTGAACACGCGTGTGTGGAGTTGTGTGGACACGCGTGTGGTTGTGTGTGTTCACAGAGTGGATTTACCCCATGAGCGTTGGTGTGTATTGTATACTGTGCTCGCTAACAGCACTTGCCCCAACAGTCTGTTAAAGGCTATACGGGGGGTCTTTGTATTGTGTGCGTCTGTGTGTTCCAATCGTGACTCATTAATCCTCCTCACTGAAAGAGAATTCGCTGCGCGGATCCGATTCCAATTAGCGCGACCCCATCACCATCACCACCATCATCGCCATCACCACCATCATCATCACCATCATCACCATCATCACCACCACCATTATAATCATTATCACCAACATCACCACCATACCCCCCCCCCCCCCAGCATCATCAACACCATAGGCAGCACAAGAACATTAATCGGCATCACCATCATCACCATCATCACCACCACAAACATCATCATCACCATCATCACCATCATCACCACCACCTTTATAATCATTATCACCAACATCACCACCATCACCCCCCCCCCAGCATCATCAACACCATGGGCAGCACAAGAACATTGATCGGCATCACCATCACCACCATCATCGCCATCACCACCAACATCATCATCACCATCATCGCCATCACCACCAACATCAGTGCCGTCATCAGCACCGTCCCCTCCATCATTGCGCGTTATCCCCCCCCACCGATGCCCCCCCAGCCCCTCCCCCTCCTCCGCCCCCCTCTTCCCCTCGCCACACGACCTCTGAAATCTATAAATAGAACGGAAACCCAACCACCGTTAGGGGTTACAGCTTCAACAAGAAGTCTAATCAGAGAGAGAGAGAGGGGAAAGGGGGTCTAATCAGAGGGGGGGGGGGTCTAATCAGAGGGGGGGGGAGGAGTCTAATCAGAGAGGGGGGAGGGGGTCTAATCAGGGAGGGGGGAGGGGGTCCAATCAGAGAGGGGGGAGGGGTCCAATCAGAAAGGGGGGAGGGGGTCTAATCAGAGAGGGGGTCTAATCAGAGAGGGGGGAGGGGGTCTAATCAGAGAGGGGGTCTAATCAGAGAGGGGGGAGGGGTCTAATCAGAGGGGGGGGGAGGGGGTCTAATCAGAGAGGGGATCTAATCAGAGAGGGGGGAGGGGGTCTAATCAGAGAGGGGGTCTAATCAGAGAGGGGGGAGGGGTCTAATCAGAGAGGGGGTCTAATCAGAGAGGGGGTCTAATCAGAGAGGAGGGAGGGGTCTAATCAGAGGGGGGGAGGGGGTATAATCAGAGAGGGGGGAGGGGTCTAATCAGAGAAGGGGGAGGGGGTCTAATCAGAGAGGGGGGAGGGGTCTAATCAGAGAGGGGGGAGGGGGTCTTATCAGAGAGGGGGGAGGGGGTAGGGGGTAGGGGGGAGGGGGAAGGGGGTTTAATCAGAAATCGATGGGGGTTTAATCAGAGATCGATGGGGGTTTAATCAGAAATCGATGGGGGTCTAATCAGAGATCGATGGGGGTTTAATCAGAGATCGATGGGGGTTTAATCAGAAATCGATGGGGGTCTAATCAGAGATCGATGGGGGTTTAATCAGAAATCGATGGGGGTTTAATCAGAGATCGATGGGGGTCTAATCAGAGATCGATGGGGGTCTAATCAGAGATCGATGGGGGTCTAATCAGAGATCGATGGGGGTTTAATCAGATTAGCGCGTTCCGGATTCCAGAGGAAGAGAAGTCACCCCGAGTGAGAAATGTCTCCATGGGTTTGGGGGGGCAGCAATTCGATAGAGAGAGAGACGGAGCGGCAATTTTGACGCCAATCGTCGATAAGAGAGAGATCGCGAGAGACGGAGGCCGCTATGGGTGAGATGTAAGGTCTTCATTCAGCAGTGGATAGACCACGGCTGCTGATGCTGCTGCTGCTGCTGATGATGATGATGAGTTCGTGTTGTAGTCCTTCCCCAACCCCCGCACCTCCGAGCAGCGCGCTTGGCTACGTACGGCACGAAAGAAGTTCAACGCGCACACATAATTATCGAGTGAGACGCAGAGACAATTGATGGAGGAAGGAGTGGGGGGAGAGATAGTGTGTGCGTGCCTCGCCTAGGTCGACTCGGCCTAAAATGAGTACCTGGTGCGGTGTGTAAATATCGTCGCTTGGGGATACAAAGACGGCCGGGCGTGGTCTCGACCCATCCCTTGTGTGTGTGTGTGTTCCCTGCCGTTACTCGCTACCAACACTTGTCCTCACCGTCTGTCCAAGGCCTATACGGGGGATCTTTAGCTTTGTGTGTGGTGGTGGTGGTGGAGAGCGAAGTGGGGATCGCGTTCGAGCGGTTGCACAGATTTACGTTTTGTTCGAGCCGCTTTACCGCAAAGTCCTGGCGGAGTGCGCGCTACCGTCAAGGCGCGCTCCGTGCGCGCGCGCGCGCCACCTCGCTCGCTCGCTCCGAGCACTCCGCGAGCGGAGCGCGGGAGGCGCAGAGGCAGAGGCTGGGCGCACACGTGTACACACACACACAGGTGTACACACACACACGTGTAGATACATATACGTGTACACACACACGTGTACCCACACACACGTGTAGATACATACACACACGTGTACACACACACACACGTGTACCCACACACACACGTGTAGATACATACACACACGTGTACACACGTGTAGATACATTTACGTGTACACACACACACACGTGTACACACGCAGGTGTACACACACACGTGTACACACACACGTGTACACACACACGTGTACACACACAGGTGTACACACACCCACACACACGTGTAGACACACACACACACGCTACACACACACACACAGTGTACACACACACACAGGTGTACACACACACACGTGTACACACACAGGTGTATATACATACACACAGGTGTAGATACATACACACACGTGTACGTACACACAGGTGTATATACACACACACGTGTACACACAGGTGTATACACACACGTACACACGCGCATACACACGTGTACCCACATGCTGGTATACACACAGGCACACACGTGCACACACACGCGCATACACATGTGTATACACACACACGTGTACACACACAGGTGTATACACACACACGTACACCCACGTGTACACACACACACGTAACCTACACATGCACATTAATATGCACACACATGCTATCACGCACACACCTATAGCCACAGATACATACAAATACACATTTACAAATACACAATCATTCACACGTACACACACACACAAAGACAAAGATCCCTCCCTATAGCCTCAACAGGCTGTTGGGGCAAGTGTCATTAGCGAGCGCGCACACACACACACACACAGACACTCTTATACACACACACGCGCGCCTATATATACACACACACAGTAGACACGCGTGACACGCACCACACACACACACACGTGGTGGTGGTGAGCGCGAGAGGGTGCGACCAACACACGTGGGATGATCGGCTCGGCCAGAAGACAGCAGCCGGGGTCGCGACCCCTCGAGACGACGACTGCCCCTGCTGCCCAGGGGATCTGACGGCCTTGGGAGGGGTGGTGGGGGGGGTGGTGGTGGTGGGGGAGTCTCTGCAGCCTCCCTGCGCCACAGCTTCCGCTCAATCTTCTGCGACTCGCGGGAGGACGCAAGTGGGACACGCCGTGAGGACACGCTGTGGGGACACGCCGTGAGGACAAGGCGTGGGACACGCCGTGAGACACACCGTGAGGACAAGACGTGAGACACACCGTGAGGACACGCTGTGGGGACACGCCGTGGGGACAAGACGTGGGGACAAGGCGTGGGGACAAGGCGTGGGGACAGGCCGTGAGACACGCCGTGGGACACGCCGTGGGACACACCGTGAGGACACACCGTGAGGACACACCGTGAGGACACGCCGTGAGGACACGCCGTGGGGACACGCCGTGAGACACGCCGTGGGGACAAGGCGTGGGGACACGCCGTGAGGACACGCCGTGAGACACGCCGTGGGGACACGCCGTGGGGACACGCCGTGGGGACACGCCGTGGGACACGCCGTGAGACACACCGTGGGACACGCCGTGAGGACACGCCGTGAGACACGCCGTGGGGACACGCCGTGGGACACGCCGTGAGACACACGTGGGACACGCCGTGGGGACAGGCCGTGAGACACACCGTGGGGACAAGGCGTGGGGACACGCCGTGGGGACACGCCGTGAGGACACGCCGTGAGACACGCCTTGAGGACACGCCGTGGGACACGCCAGCAGCAGCTGGAAGAGGAGACGCGAGGAGGAGGAGGAGGTTTGGAGAGAGAGCTGGGAGGAAGAGGTGGCCCTGGTGAGCTGAAACCACCGGGTGAGTCCCGTCACCCCCCCCCCCCCCCTTCTCGCCCCCTTCTTCCTTAATCGTTGCTGGGAAGGTGGTGGTGAGGAGTGGAGGGACTTGAGGGGAGGGGAGGGGTCTAGGGGGGGGGGTGAATCGGAGGGGGGGGGGGGGGCTCTGACAGGTGAGGTAACCTGCCAGGTGATTCCGTGTGGTGGTCACTCACCGGCGCGTGAGCACGTGGTGCTGCCCCACGGCGCCAGGGGACTGATTTGACGCGAGCAGGGCCGTGATGGCTTACAAACGCAGCGGCGGTGCTGCTGATGATGATGGTGGTGATTATGGTGATGATAGTGCTGCTGATGGTGATGATGATGGTGATGATGGTGCTGCTGCTGATGATGGTGATGATAGTGATGCTGCTGATGGTGATGATGATGATGGTGCTGCTGATGGTGATGATAGTGCTGCTGCTGATGATGGTGATGATAGTGCTGCTGCTGATGGTGATGATGATGGTACTGCTGCTGATGATGATTATGGTGATGATAGTGCTGCTGCTGATGATGGTGATGGTGAGGATAGTGCTGCTGATGGTGATGATAGTGCTGCTGCTGATGGTGATGGTGATGATAGTGCTGCTGATGATGGTGACGGTGCTGATGATGATGTTTATGATGATGGTGATGATGATGGTGATGATAGTGCTGCTGCTGATAATGGTGCTGCTGATGATGATGGTGATGATAGTGCTGCTGCTGATGATGGTGATGATGGTGCTGGTGGTGGTGATGACGATCAACAGATACGATGATCGTGATGAACTCGCCGGAAGTGATGCTGCTGCTGATTACAACAGTAACCATGATGGCAGTGATGATGATGGTGATGATGGTGCTGCTGCTGATTACAACAGTAACCATGATGGCAGTGATGATGATGATGATGGTGCTGCTGCTGCTGATTACAACAGTAACCATGATGGCAGTGATGATGATGGTGATGATGGTGCTGCTGCTGATTACAACAGTAACCATGATGGCAGTGATGATGATGGTGATGCTTGACGAATAAATCAGCGATGATTGTGATAATTTTAACAGAAGTGACGGTGATAGTGATGATGATGCTGATGACAATGATGGTATAGAAAACAGAGATGATGTCGACAATTATCGTGGAAATGATGATGTTGATGATCTTGATTTAAACAATGACGGTGGTGATTGTGATGCCAGTGATGATGATAATAATGATGCAAGCAACGATGATCCCAAGGAAAGTGATGATGATGCCTGTAATTATACTAATGGGAGTCATGATGATGATGATGATGCTACTGATGGTAACAGTAATGATGAGGATGATCGTGAAGAAAGTGCCACAATTGAGTCTTACACGTTTACCCATCATCACAAAGACAAAGATCCCCCGTGTAGCCTGTAACAGACTGTAGGGTTAGCGAGAACCTATGAATTCCGGCACGGCACACGAGGGGGTGACTGGCAAGCACCACGTCCGGCCGCCTTTGTCTCCCGAGTGAAGATCCTAACACATCGCCTCAGCTAACAGTACCTATTTTGAGGCCGCTTTGGCAGTAATGTAATTGGCTCCGGCTCGCTGATGAGCGTCAAGAGGTGGAAGCCGGTTCTGTTGATCGTTGTGTTGCACTGTTACCCATGGAAAAAAAACCCGATATCGACCTAAAAGGCCTGTCAGCCGAAACATCCATCATTCTTTCCGTTCATTGAATGAATGTCCGTGTGAGTGAGAGTGTGTGTCTATGTGTGGGTGTGTCTGTGTGTGTGTCTATGTGTAGGTGTGTGTGTGTGTGTGTTATGGGGAGCGGTGGTGTAGCGGTTAGCGTGCCGCGCTACGAACCCGGCGACCCGAGTTCGATTTCCGCTCACGGCTACCAACACCAGCGACGATTATCTGAACCGGTCCTGAGCCTCGCCTAGGTCGACCCAGCCTCAAATGACTACCTGCTCCAATGTATAAACATCGCCACGAGGGAGACAAAGGCGGCAGGGCATGGTGTCGGTATTCCTTACGAGTGTGTGCGAGAAGCCATTCGAGATAACGTTGTGAAAAATAAGAAGAGGTTTTTTTCACCATTTATGTCAATGAAACTGATGTTCGAACACCAAATAGAAACCTTTTGTAAGGCGTCCTCTGGTCTAACACTGGTGAGATAAGGCCACAAAGTCGGGTGTCTCTGGTGAAGACCAATCAGTTTCATACACAATGGGTAATTTCATCAGGGCATGATTTTGCCACAAGTATGTCTGGTTAATGCAGACTTGATGCCTCGAAAAATTTACCTGTTTTAGTGTTTTAAACATCTTAACGCCTCCTGTTTTATTGCCAGCAAGGGTGACACCTAACATTCTTATTTTTCATCATTTCGGATATTGTGGGGAAAAAAGGGGGTCCCATCGAGATGAGATGATCACGTGGTGAAGTGAAGGAGTGAGGTGCGCGAGTGACGGGAAGGCCTCTGCCAGATCGGCTCAATAATCACGGGAGGAGGAGGAGACGGAAGAGGTGAAGGATGAGGTGGAGGAGGAGGTGAAGGAGAAGGATGAGGTGGAGGAGGAGGAGGTGGAGGAGGAGAAGGAGGAGGATGAGGTGGAGGAGGAGGAGGTGGAGGAGAAGGTGGAGGAGTAGTAGGAGAAGGATGAGGTGGAGGAGGAGGAGGTGGAGGAGGAGAAGGAGGAGGATGAGGTGGAGGAGGAGGAGGAGAAGGATGAGGTGGAGGAGAAGGTGGAGGAGTAGAAGGAGGTGGAGAAGGAGAAGGAGGAGGAGGAGGAGGAGAAGGAGAAGGTGGAGGTAGAGGAGGCTGCAGAGATTTGTGTGCGGCCCGTGTGCATGCAACCGCCCAACACGACCCGTTCCATCAGCCGCTTCAAGGGGACCCACCCCCCTCCGCTCCACGCCTGGGTCGACGCGACGGGTTGGCAGCTGCTGGGCTCATCGTGGTGTCGAGTCGGTGGATTTGCGGGCTTCTTGTTCGCGCAACGAGGAGCCGATCTGACCACCCAACATCGGCGTCTCTGTCGTCTGTAGGATGCACTTACGATTCCCTTCCATCGTCGAAGGTGCCACCAAGAGTCTCCCCGCCGCGCTCGTTCCGTTTCATTCTAGATTTGAAGTTTTCGTCACGTAGGTGAATTATTAAAAAATAAATAGAAATTAACTAAATTACACGTTCCTTCGGAGTGGGCAGGTAGGCACTTGGTTGGACAGCGCATTCGTGCACGACAGACAAATAATCCCTGGTGGGAAGTGGAGAAGCTGTTGTCCCTACCTGTATAAGTGTAGTGCGTCGTGTCGTGTATAGTGTAGTGTGTAGGTTAAACGTTGAGTTTTATAAGGGCACCACGGGGTGACCAGCCTCTCACCTCCCCACCCAGCCCCACCCCTCCCACCCCCCACCCAGCCCCACCCCTCCCACCCCCCACCCAGCCCCACCCTCCCCACCCAGCCCTTCCCCACCCTCCCCACCCAGCTTCTCCCCACCCTCCCCTCCCCACCCAGCCCCTCCCTCCCCATCCAGCCCCTCCCCACCCTCCCCTCTCTATTCGACCCTTGGGTTGCGACAAGGATGTCCTCTGGCCCCTTTCAATATTGAAAATATGCGGAAGACCTCGGAGTTTGAAAAGCTTCCTTTGGCCGTGCCAGTGGAACTTCCATCTGGTACAGATACAGCGGGAGGCTGATCGATAATCGAGTGCGGTCAAGGGATGACTCCTCAACAATTCAACCATTGGCGTACGTTGATGGCTTTGTGGGAATTGGAGACTGCCGCTTGTCAGCCTCACCAATAACACATTCCTGCGGAGGGAGCTGGTAGGAACGTTGGGTTGCTCGGTCAATGGCCAGGGTCAACGGCGGCGTGGTGTATTCCGCAAATACGCCCGACTGTGAGGGCGGGCACAAGCCGGCGTGAGTAGGTTAAACGTTGAGTTTTATAAGGGCACCACCGGGTGACCAGCCCCTCCCCACCCAGCCCCACCCCTCCCTCCCCTCACCCAGCCCCTCCCCACCCAGCCCCACCCTACCCACCCAGCCCTCCCCACCCTCCGCTCTCCACCCAGCCCCACCCCTCCCATTTTTGGATGCACGACGGACGGACACAATAATCCCCTGTGGGCTGGTGTAACCTGGCGGTTCTTACCAGTAATAGAGCACCTGCCTGTGTGCTTTGTGTCATCAACCACTGCGCCCTCCGTCACTCTTCATAAGCGACGAGGTGGTTGTGGAGAGAGTGGTGGGAAGTGCACTTACGACTCCAAATCCAGCCGCGTTATCTTTTAATCGGCTTGCGTGGACGCTGCCTGGACTTTCGTTCCACACGAAGCCGCGGGTCTTCTCGGCCATGGTCCATCGCTGCCTTCTCTACGGCTCGAAACATTCAGGCTGGCCCTGCCGACGATCCAGGCTGGATCGCGAGCGAGATGCGCTCACACATCCTTGAAATGCCTGGGCACTTTCACCCGGAATTGAGCCTCATCATGCATTATTATCAATGGGTCACGAACCGGTGGGATCACACGCTCACGCACTCGAACGTATGAATCACGCACAGGCCACTCACTCACATCACGACAGCGTTCAATCGCATTATCTGCTCACACGTTTTAAACTCGAATTTACAAAAAAAAGATTCCAACCTTATAGCCCGAACAGACTGTTGGAGCAAGTGCTGTGAGCGAGTAGTACCTCATGAAGGCTGGCACGTACTCGTTTGAGGCTGAGTCCACCTAGGGAGTGCCCAGGCCCGGTTTCAGAGAATCGTCACTGGCGGTGTTGGCCGTGAGCGGGAATCGAACTCGGGTCGCCAGGTTCGTAGCTCAGCGTAGCGCTGACCGCTACACCATCGCACACAAAGCCAAAGATCCCCCGCATGGCCTTAACAGACTGTAGGGGCAAGTACTGTTAGCGAGCACCTATGAAGGCCGGCACGGCACACGAGGGGGTGGGTGGCCAACACCACGCCCGGCCGCCTTTGTCACCCTAGTGGCGATGTT